AAAAAAAAAAAGGGTTGATCTTCTTGAGTTCAGAAAACAAGAGCAGTCTCTAAACTTAGTTAAAAGTGTCCTTTTAGTATATTTTTAGGAAAAAAAAGAAAACATTTTTACTGTGAATCTCGAAGAATTTAATATCAATATTATTTAAATATCACTATTTTAACTTCAAATAGATAAATTTTTTTGTCAACTTTTTGGATACCAGTATTTTTCTTTTAAACCTTATGTCCTCATGAAATTTTGGTTCACGATTGAAAAAATTTTGATGTACTAAAACAGAGAAATGAAGCTGAGTGAGAGTAGTACTAGAGGCAAAATGAACAGACCTTAAACCATTGAATCTCAGACTGCATACGAAGGGCTTCCCCAGGCCTATCCCTCAAAGAATACTCTCCCAAATAAGCCGCTTTGTGCAAAATACTGTCACCATCTGCGTTGATCTTCCTCCTCAGCCTCGAAATTGGAATGTGCGAAGATTGGAGGAGCTCTAATATTTCTGCTCTTCGATATCTCGCTGCGACATGGAATATGTTCTCATTTCTTTGGTTTACATGCTCGATCGCCTGCGGATACACTTTCAGTATGGCCTCCACTATCTCCATGATCCCATTTCTTGCTGCTGCAATGAGCGGAGTCTCGAACCGAAAACTAGTTTCGGAAGCTGCGTGAGACCTAGAAGAGCCGGCGTCTTCTTCATCATCTTTGTCAGCTTCTTCTGCATCATCTTTTTCATGCACAGGAAGGTGGATTTTTTCATCCGGGGCGCCTCCAAAGTTTCCACCAATCCATGATAAATCCTGTTTGGCAAGAATATTGAGAAGCTCCAGCACTTTGCTTTGCTTCTTCTTTATGTCCCACAGTTTTCCAATGGCTGGCAATACTTTTGATTGCCAATCATGACAGAGAGCAAAAAATATCAGGTGATCATCTTTCAGCAAATTGACAAAGTATTTGATATTTGATGTTCACAAACATTTTTTGTGTTCTAGCAGAAATCCACAAGAGAATTACGGAGACAAACCTAGAGCTGCGCCCCTCCAAAAATTACAGTAAGCTTTTAAGGTCCCTGAAAGTTTCGACTCAAATTGATTAGAACACAAATTGGAAATTTCTATTTATAAGTTAGATTTGGATTCTTGAACAAAATTGGAACTTTCTATGATTATTGTCTTTAACATTAAGACAATATTTAGCCACTAGTTCAAAACAAAGTAAAGTGAAATTCTCAATCCCTCTTAGACCCTTTTGAAACAAAATATTCAGATTACATCAGTTCCTCCAAATAAGTAATCCTCAAACCATATCTTTGATCTTTCAACCAAAATTACTACGGTAAAAGAGAATTTTTCAGGACTTTTTGTACGTATGAAATGTTTGCCTCAATTACCAGTAGGTTGGTTTACTTGGCTATATCCCTGGAGAGGTTTCCTTCCATGGCCACTTTCCAAATCTTCCTCTTTACTCGAGGCGGGCTGCGGTACTATATCATCGAGTTTCTGATCATCCTTTTGAGGAAGGCCTATTAGGAGAAACAAGTATGAAGGAAGGATGTTTATCAATGAGGGTAGAAAACCACAGGGAAAAATGCTTGAATCTGGTAAAAGCTAGAAAGGTAGGTAAATTTTTTTTGATAGAAAGAAAAGGTACGTAAATTTTAGATGCATGATAATTCAAATATTTATTAGTTACTTCAAATATTCATCAGACTATATTATTTCACCAGAATTACTAGAGTAATAGAGTCTTTTTAGTTCTTTTAGCAAGCATCCATACAAGTTTTACTTTCCAGAT